TCCCTCGGCCACATTATAAACAAGTCCCTCCGCATTGAGCTACAATTTACTGCTACAGCATTCTTCCAGGGCTAATGAATTTAGAATTAGCCATTTCTTGCGAATGGAGCCGAGTGAATGCGCTCACGTTTACCAGCGTGACAAATTGCCGCCGCGCTGCAACGGACACCGTTTAACCCCCCTTTCAGCCGCCGGCTGGCCGGGCATTTTCCCAGGTAGCTTAGAGGGGAATCTTGTAAGACATGGAGGCCGCCCCTGTGCGCCTCGCCGTTCCCACATCGGCTGCCAGGCCCGGCGGGCCGGGGGGACCCCCAGGGACTGCGGGCCGCCCCCGCTCTTCCAGGCCCAGAGAGGCGACTGCAGGGCTCGCCTGGGTTGGGGAGCCGCCCTTCCCGGCGCCCCCGATTCTCGACGGATGCGTAGAGGGACACAGGCGCGCCCGGGGTCACACAGGGAGCGGCGCATCCCGCGTTTCTCTTGGGCCCCCTTGGCCCCGCAGTCCGAGGTCTGTTCCCAGTGCAGCCAGCCCACCCCGGGGAAGGGGCCTCCCGCACGCACGCACGCACCGGGCAGGAGTCAGAGCTCCTGGCCGCACCCTGGGGCCTCTGTGCTCGGCGCCCCGGAGCGCAGCGCAGCGCTGTGAGCTGGCAGCGCGGTGAGCTCCGTGGGAGACGGGGCGGGTGGAAGAACACAAAACCGGACTTGGGCCAGAACTGCCGGCGTGGCCAACACCTCCTCAAAGGAGCTGGCCTCAGTTTACCCAAGTGTGAAACCACTCACTACGATCGGTTAAGTCGTTCTTAAACTTTTCCGGGGCGAGGGCAGGGGAAATTATGGGTGCTTTGAGAATTCGCAGAGAGACCAAAACAAACAAACAAACAAACAAAAAACAAAAAAACTAGAAATAAACCCAAAGCACCGCTTTCAAGGGCACTGGGGGTTCCAGGGTTGCAAACAGCACGGAGCCCCCACACAGTCACGGAGCCCCCACAGCCGCAGCCCCTCCCCGCACCGTCCCTCTGCACACCCGGGAGTCACCCCGGCGGCTGGGGTTGGTCAGGGCGGCGGGAAGGGCTCCTGGGCGCTGACCCTGCCCGCGCCCCTGCGGCTACAGAGGTGCAGAAGCTGTCCAGCCTGGTGCTGCCGGCGGAGGTGATCATCGCGCAGAGCTCCATCCCTGGCGAGGGCCTGGGCATCTTCTCCAAGACGTGGATCAAGGCTGGCACCGAGATGGGCCCCTTCACCGGCCGCGTCATCGCCCCCGAGCACGTAGACATCTGCAAGAACAACAACCTCATGTGGGAGGTAGGCGCGGAGTCCGGGGTGCAGGGGTGCAGGGGTGCGGGGGTGCGGCGGGGGGACCTCCAACCGCCCTGCAGCTGCTTCTGCCCTTGTTGGGAGGGGTGGCCTTTAGGGCCCTGCCGCTCCTCAAGGCCGGACCCTATGCTGCTGGATCCCCACAACCCGCCCCAGTACGCTCCCCCTCTCCCCGCAAATCTGATCCTTTTTCTGGTCAAATCTGTGGAGTATGCCTGCTGTTGGCTCACTTCACAGAAGAGGGCACTGAGAGCCGGGCAGCCATGTGGCTTGTGCAGGGCCCATGGCGATCTGGGAGCCTTCTCCTCGCCACCTGCATTCCCCCTCGCCCCCTCCTAACCTCACCTCCTCCTGCGCCTGGAGGCCCAAGCCCCTGGTTACTTTCTCTCCTTGTTGCTGGGTTAGGAAGTTGGGGTTCAGGTTGAGCTCTGAATATCCCTGGCCGCTCTCCCAAAGGGACTGAGGCCAGGCCAGGCGCCACAGTGAGCCAGCCTTACCTCTCTGGGCTCCTGTGTGCCCTCTGTGGTGTGGCCAGCCCCTTCCGGCTTTGGGGAAACCTCTCCATCCCCGGAGAGCTCGCTGTGTGCTTCTTTGTCGAATCGGTGATCCCTTGGAGACCCTTCCCTACTGGGGATGGGGAGGACGCGGCAGCAGGAAGGAGCCTGTGGGGCCTTAGACTCCCTATTGGCCACTCCTAGCCAGTGGGCCTCAGGCAAGTCACTGTGCCAGGCTGAGCCTCTCTGTTCTCAGCGGGAAAACTGAGACAGTAAGAGCTGTGTCCACTTCCTGGGCTGCTGTGAGGATGGAGAGAGAGTGCCTGGCGTGGAGCCGGGGCCTGGACACAGGTGGCACACCTGACAGAGCCCTGCCTCACCTGGTCCCGGATTCTCCTGTGCCCAGGTGTTCAATGAGGATGGCACAGTGCGCTACTTCATCGATGCCAGCCAGGAGGACCACCGCAGCTGGATGACCTACATCAAGTGCGCACGTAACGAGCAGGAGCAGAACCTGGAGGTCGTCCAGATTGGCACCAGCATCTTCTACAAGGCCATCGAGGTGCGTGTGCGTGTGCGTGTGCGTGTGTGCGTGTGTGTGTGTGTCTGTGTGTGCGTGTGTGTGTGTGTGTGTGTGTGTGCTGCCGTGGAGGGAGCAGCGGGAGCAGCTGGGTGCGGGGTGCAGGGCAGCTGTGTTTGAGGTCTGCTCTGGAGGGAGGGGCCCTGACAGCAGCCCTGCCCAGCTGGCCCTGCCCAGGCTGTGGGGCTGAGGCCCATGCACCACGGTCTTCAGGAGCACGACCTCCAGGCACTTTGCTGCCGCAGATCAGATAGGAAAGGACAAGGAAGGGACTTTTGATGTCATTGTGAATGTCATGAGCACCTCAACAGGGAGGCCCCTGGGCAGCTGCTGAGGGTGTCCTGGGGTTCAGAAGCCATAGCAATACGGAGAGCCGGACAGAGGAAGGCAGCCCAGGGAAAGCGTCCGGGTGGGAGAGGGGGTTGTGTCTGCAGCGGTTTAGCCGTGTGTTGTCCCTCCTTCTGCGTGCGTGGGACACTGATGACATGTGGGTCACGATCTAGTCTCAGCTGTCACATACCGGTCGCTCCGGGTGTCAGGCTTCTCCTAGCCGCTGTACCGCATTAGCCTATTTAATCCTCACGTATTTAACCCACAAGGGAGGATTCTGCCATTGCTACAGTTTATAGACATGGGAACTGGGTCTCAGTCGGTGGCAGGCAGGCTCAGGAGCTCTTACAGGGCATTGGGGGCGATGTTAACACTAATGCCTGCGGTGGGCGAAGCTTCTCAGGAGAGAAAGGGGGAGATAGCAGACAGATAAATATCACTTCCCATGGTCCTGTGGGGGGGGGGGGGAGCTAAGCCAGGCCCGGGGCATGAGAAGGTTCAAGAAGATGGGAGAGAGGCTCGGGCAGAGGCAGACAAGCTCACAGTGTTTGGGGAGGAGCTGATGGCCAGCTGAGTGGTGGTAGCCAAGGAGGACCACCCTGTCGGGACCTTCCTGGGCAGTGTCCCTTGATAGGAAATTCACTCAGCATCTGGCCCAGCGGCAGGCGGCAGGCGGCAGGTTGTCGGGGAGCGCTGTTCAGGGTGATGGGGTTGTTTGCCCCCCACTTTTCCAGACCCCCTGCTTCTGCTTGCAGGTGGGGAGAGGCACGGTGCCCCTTGGGTGGGGCTGGACTTGGCTGAGTTTTAGGGTGGTCTGAAGGAGCCTCGCCAGAGTCTGGGAGTGACTTCTTGTTAGCCTAGCTCCCTTTTCTCCCAGGGACTCAGATCCCCAAGTCCGCCCAAGGCCCAAGGGGTATTGGGGCCTAGAAGCTTCTGGAATTGAGGTCCGATTGTCCCTGAATAACCAGGCCTCAGGAATCTCCTAGGGATGACCCCAGAATGATATTTGCCTGGTGTGGCCGGGAGTGGGCCCCAGCTGAGGTGTGTGGGGGGAACCCTGGGAGATAAGGAAGGTGAGCATTCCTAGACTGGGGTTCAGGTGAGGTGGGACAGTGTGAGGCAGTGTGACAGAGGACGGAGGTGGCCAGGCCCAGGACAGAGGTGGTTCTTGTGACCATCCACCTGTGAGAGCAGACATCCTGGAATCGGCCTCAGGGGTGGCCGAACCCCACTTCTGATAGAGAGCACCCTTCCAGATCCTCACCCGTCTCAGCCTCACACACACCCCCTCACATGTGTACACAGCTACCCAGCCATCCCCATTCAGATGAGCCTGGGGCCCACACCCACCCCATCCCTCCCACGCAGACACGCACACGCACACGCACACACACAGAGGAGACCGACAGAGGCGCCTGGTAGTTTTGGCAGAAGGGCTCTGGCTCGGGCAGACGATGGAGGACGGGGGAAAGGGGGCTAGGTTTCATCTCGCTGTGCACCGTCTCTCCTCCTGCGGCTGGAAGCTGAACGGAGCCGGGACACGCATGTTAATGGACATTTATACAGACGTTCAGGGTCAGAGGGCCGGCGGCCGAAGAACTCTCCAAGGAGGGACCTATGAGAGTTTGAAAAAGTCATCCACATTTGATCAGGAGTTTAAGTTGATAAAAGAAGATCA